AGACTATATACAAGACTATAGACTTGGCTATAGACTAGACTATAGAATAGACTATAGAATAGAATAGAATAGACTATAGACTAGACTATAGACTAGACTATAGACTAGACTATAGACTAGACTATAGACTAGACTATAGACTAGATTATAGATTAGACTATAAACTAGACCATAGACTAGACTTTAAGCTAGACTATAGACCAGACCTTAGACTAGACTATAAACTAGACTATCGACTAGACTATAGACTAGACTATAGACTAGACTGTAGACTAGACTGTAGACTAGACTATAGACTAGACTATAGACTAGACTGTAGACTAGTCTATAGACTAGACTGTAGACTAGACTGTAGACTAGACTAGACTAAAGACTAGACTATAGACTAGTCTATAGACTAGACTATAGACTAGACTATAGAATAGACTATAGACTAGGCTATAGAATAGACTATATGCTAGATTATAGACTAGACTATAGAATAGACTGTAGGCTAGACTATAGACTAAACTATAGAATAAACTATAGACTAAACTATAGAATAAACTATAGACTAGACTACAGACTAGACTATAGACTAAACTATAGAGTAGTCTATAGACTAATCTATAGAATAGACTATAGACTAGACTAGACTATGTACTAGACTATAGACTAGACTATACATTGGACTATAGACTAGACTATAGACCAGACTATAGACCAGACTATAGACCAGACTATAGACTAGACTATAGACTAGACTATAGACTAGACTATAGACTAGACTATAGACCAGACTATAGGCTAGACTATAGACTAGACTACAGAATAGACTATAGACTAAACTATAGAATAAAATATTGAATAGACTATAGACTAGACTATAGACTAAGCTATAGAGTAGTCTATAGACTAATCTATAGAATAGACTATAGACTAGACTATGGACTAGACTTTATACTAGACTATAGACTAGACTATAGACGAGACTATAGACTGGACTATAGACTAGACTATAGCCTAGACTATAGAATAGACTAATCTTAGAATAAACTATTGAATAGACTATAGACTAAACTATAGAATAAACTATTGAATAGACTATAGACTAAACTATAGAATAAACTATTGAATAGAGTATAGACTAAACTCTAGAATAAACTATAGGCTAGACTGTAGACTAAACTGTAGAGACTAATCTATAGAATAGACTATAGACTAGACTAGACTATGGACTAGACTTTATACTAGACTATAGGCTAGACTATAGGCTAGACTATAGACTAGACTATAGACTAGACTATAGACTAGACTATAGACTAGACTATAGACTAGACTATAGACTAGACTATAGACTAGACTATAGACTAGACTATAGACTAGACTATAGACTAGACTATAGACTAGACTATAGACTAGACTATAGACTAGACTATAGACTGGACTATAGACTAGACTATAGACTAGACTATACTAGACTATGGACTAGACTATAGACCAGACTATAGACTAGACTATAGACTAGACTATAGACTAGACTATAGACTAGACTATAGACTAAACTTTAGACTAGACTATAGACTAAACTATAGACTAAACTTTAGACTAGACTATAGACTAAACTATAGACTAAACTTTAGACTAGACTATAGAAGACTATAGACTAAACTTTAGACTAGACTATAGAAGACTATAGACTAGACTATAGACTAGACTAGACTATAGACTAGACTATAGACTAGACTATAGACTAGACTATAGACTAGACTATAGACTAGACTATAGACTAGACTATAGTCTAGACTATAGACTAGACTATAGACTAGACTATAGACTAGACTATAAACTAAACTATAGACTAAACTTTAGACTAGACTATAGACTAGACTATAGTCTTGACTGTATATAAGACTATAGATTATTCTTTAGACTATACTTTAGACTAGACTAAAGAAAAGACTATATACTAGTCTATTAGACTATGTACTAGACTATAGATTGTTCTATTGACTACTATGTGGACTATTTATCAAAAGTTTATATGTTAGAAAATGTACCGAAAATGTTGTGGGGGTAACGACGTGTATATCGAATGAGAGTTACTTCGTCCTTCTGTTTATTATATCCAACAAAGAAGATAGGAGGTCATTCCGTTTTTAACATATATAAATATCGCTCTCAAAATCCATAAATTACAATTCTAAAACGATCTACAAATATAGAGTCATTCCGTTTTAACATATCCAAATATCGATTTCAAAATCTATAAATTAAAATCCAAAAAAGATCTACAATGGTCGCACAGTGGTATAGGAAAAAAAAAGAGGGAAATAATTCGGTAACTTCTAAACGGTTAATCCGATTTTAATGAAATTTGGTATGCACAAAGAGGAGGTGTTGTCGAGTTTAGGTTTTGAATTTGGACCTTATAGGCCAACCAGGGGCCCGGCGGGGGGTCCTCAAATTAGACAACCTCGGCTATGTTAAGTTTTTAAAACGATCCTATTTCTTCATTTGAGTTCCGATTTAAAAAAATTTTCGTATATAGAATCTCCTCATCGAGCACTATAAAAAATGTCGTGTGTTATATATCAATGGAAAGGTAATTTTGTCTATTTTTCAAAACTGTATATAATTTTTGAAAATTAAAAAATTCGCGGAATACTTTTTTAAAAAAAAAAATTAAAAAATGTTTTTTATTCAGTTTTTGCGAAGATACAAATTTTTCAAATTGCAATAAAAATTTTATTTATGAATATTTTTTGATGAAATATTACAGTTAGGTAGATTTTTTTACTTAAAATCCAAAATTAAATAAAAATTTCGAATTTTCTTATTAGAAATCCCGGAATTCCCAAAAAAGTTTTAAAAAATCCCAAAAATGGGATTTTTTGGTTTTTTGCCTATTATATCCATACCAGGGGCGGGGTTATCGAAACCCGTTACAAAATGATTAAGAACTTATTGGGTCATATAAAACAGGTCACTATAATTTGATATCGACTATGCGATTTGAGAATTTTTGCTCAAAATTTAATTTTCCATAAAAAATAGGGTTTTTTTGGATGGACCTGGTCCCCTCGGTATCAAAAATTTTTAGGTTTTGTTTCATTTATCGTATTTTATGTAAAGTCAGCTTTCCAAAAAGTATAAATTCTATATACATCTTCTTAGAAACTTTTTAGATAACTTAAAAAGAAAAAGATACTTTTTTCCCAAAAAAATGACAAAAAATCGCCTTTTTTTAATTTTTTAAATTTAAATGCCTATAACTTTGGACTCAGTCATGATTTTTACATAATTCTTTCACTGCTTGGTATATAAACTTGTTGTTAAGCAAATAAAAAAAAATGGCGAAAATCGGAAATATTTGGACCTGCTATTATCAAAAAAACTAAAGTAAGGACGGTAAAAATTTTAAAATTTTAATATTCAAATGCGAATATCTCCTAAACTATAAGAGATAATTTACTGCTACGACGACATTTTTTATAGTGCTCGATGAGGAGATTCTATATACGAAATTTTTTTTAAATCGGAACTCAAATGAAGAAATAGGATCGTTTTAAAAATTTAACATAGCCGAGGTTGTCTAATTTGAGGACCCCCCGCCGGGCCCCTGGTTGGCCTATAAGGTCCAAATTCAAAACCTAAACTCGACAACACCTCCTCTTTGTGCATACCAAATTTCATTAAAATCGGATTAACCGTTTAGAAGTTACCGAATTATTTCCCTCTTTTTTTTTTCCTATACCACTGTGGGTCGTTCGTCTGTCTATTGTTGAAAAGGCCTATGGTGGACGATATTTGTTCTATATAATATCATATTATATTATGAGATATGATAATGTAGAACTATAGCGATCATAAAAAACCGTTTTAGGATCATTAGTTAGGATAAGTTCTTAATTGAATACTTTTATTAAAAACCTGGGACCAAATTACGGCATTTAATAACGAATCGTTTAAAACGATGACATCGAAATAAAATCGCCATATATGATTTTTTCAATGTAATAAATTACTATTTCAAATTTTGAGTTTGGTCTGTAACTGACTTAAGTAACCATATAAAGCCCTCTTCCGAAAATCACTCTGATTCTTATAGTAATAATCCTAAAAACGAGAAAATCGTGTTAACAATTTCTCTAAGAATCTGTCCAAATGATCTACTTCCTATCGAAATTAGTTTCAAACTTACGATAGATATTGTGATAGTGAGTCTATAATCTTCGGCATAAGTAAAAATTTAAATCTTTGGAAAAACTTTTGACAGCTTTGCTATAATCCAAAAATAGTAACAATGATTTCACTTTAATTAATAAAAATAAACCATAACTTCATTAATATAACAATTGATTATCATTATCTATAAACATGATTCATAATAATTTTTAATAATTTATTTACTTGTAAAAACTGCACAGATTTGTTCAAAAAATGTAAATTTCTCGTAGAAAATCAAAATCTCAAACTTTTTAAAAACTTAGTTTCGCACTATTTTTAATTTTTTTCCAATTTACGATTTGCGTCTTTAATTTTAAACCGATTCTTTTCTATTCTCTATATAAAAAAACGTTTGTTTGTGTTTATAAATTCAATGAAACTGAATTTTAACTCTGCCTCGTTCCACATCCAATTTAAACAATTAATACACTTTATAATCTTATCAAAAACAGAAAATATAATAATACAAAAACAACGATAAACAAATTGTTAAAGGTGAGAAAGGTGAAAAATTGTACAACAAGAGTTAATGGAATGTATGGAACAGAAGAGAGTCGAACTGTGAGTAGAAAAGAACCCTTGTTTAGGTTCTTATCAATTTGCATTGTTTTCTGTTTGTTCAGTCAATACTAAATTTATTTATCAATTTCTTAACATTATGTAGTTGTTATATTTTCTGTTATTGTTGGTTGTAAAATATAGTTATAATGGAAGTTTTGTAAAATATATCTTTAGCGCTATATGATCCGTTATAAAAAATGGTTGGTGTCTTTGCTAATACTAAAGTTTAAATACACTTTAAACTATTACATACCATGATGACGCATTAAAACGCTATGCTGAGGATTGCGTATTATGCGTATTTGACGATCGGGATGTTGTGGTTCACCATATTCACCGCCAATATCTTTAGGCAATTGCCATAAAGCACTACGTTCTTCTAGATTATCACGTGGAAAATAAAGAGGTGCCAATACCTCATAAATACCCCGTTCATGGGGACTAACACAAAATATCACGATTTGCGATGTAAATTTATCCAAATAACGGCGTACAGTTCCTGAAATACCAATAAAAACGATTAATAAACTACAGGTTAAATTTATAGTTCACAATCGAAGATATATACTTAATGCAATATGAGCGGCTAGATCAGCTGGAAATGTCTTTTGATTGGTACTAATATTGCAAACAGCTATAGTTTTTAAATTCAGTTCTTTGGCTTTACATAAAACGTTTCTGAAAGTGAATTATAAGAATAAACGTTATAAGAAATATACGCCCGAAATTTCTGGTAGTTTTTTCATACCTATAACAACAATGTAAAGTATTCTCAGCTGCAGTTTTAAATTTTTCTTTATACGATGGACCCACTGTATGTAAAATATAACTAGCGGGTAAATTGTAGCCCTTGGTAACGCGTACTTCACCAGTGCGGCATTCTGTAATAAAGTAATAGTGATATTTAAAATATTGTAACTATTTTTGGATGATAAATTTAAGATAAAATAGCGTAACAACTTTTTAACCCTAAAAGATCACTATTATACTTCAGGTCACTTCAGGACGGCCTTTACATAAAGCTTAAATGAAGGGTAGTGGGAACAGATTAGTCATTGCATAATAGAAGATTTAACTAGAAGACCTCCCAAATAGAACTTTTGTTAAAGTTCTATTTGGGAGGTACGGTTGTAGGGGACTGGATGAAATAATGGACCGATTAATTGACTCAGGAAGTGATTCTGAATCGATTGATATACTTTAAGATGGGAGTATGACCAATATTTTTGGTTGTTACAATTATCAGCACAAACGCATAATAACTTCCCTATTATAGTGGTGCAGGGTATAAATAGGAACTATCTCACCATGATGGGTCAATTCTTAAATTTTCAAGGTCAGCTAAATAAAGAACATTCCATTTTTAAGAGAACGATCTGTATAATTCCAATATCCAAAAAGTAACTACTACGTTTCCAGTAGCAATCTACCAGGTATGATCACCAAACCACTAGGAGAGCAATGAATGAACGAAGATCGTCCAGACCAGCCAAAAAAAGTTTGAAGACCCTGAATTGGAGGTATTGAAGATTGTGGCTAAACTCAATAAGAACATGTAATATCATTGCTAGCTTCTCAAAATGTATGCGAGCAGCAGGATTCATCCTAAATCAGGGAAATTAACATACCAGAGGGATTGAAGTCGTATGCGTGGCTAACCAGACGAATCGACCCCAAAGCCAAATATCCATGATGCCAATATATTATGAGCAACTGAAATCTGACCACATCGCATAGAAAATCTGTACCGAATACAGCTGTTTCGTTTTAAGCGAACATTGTCCGTAAAATGTCCAGATGCCCAACAATGCTCGGCCAAATGTTGAACTATTTAGAAAGAAGTGGTTGGGAAGTTCTTATATATAGTCTCTGGGATACGCTCACTTCAGAACAGGGTATACCAAATTGGCTAGATTCGTTCATGGCCTCAAAAGATGAATAGTTCCTTTAGCACGGAATCCATATGCTGCCAGAAAGATGGAAAAAGGGAATAGCTGATAATAGTCCATAAGAGCGAAATTAAAAGCACTGTAGGAATGACCCAAACAATTAGAGGACGAAGTAGCCTCCTCAGAATCAGTTAATGGTATGTATTCAGACTTGACATACAGGATTACGGTTACAACTATACAAAATTGGGCGAGTGTATTTAGACAAATGTAGAGCATGTGGAAAAGACTACCATCGGAATTAGATCCAAACATTTCAGGAGCGATGTTATACAAAATATTACATCTCTTAGTAACATTTAAAGGAACTAAGCGTCACCAGAAAACTTATTTAATATCCATGATGGCAATATATTATGAGCTACTGAAATCTGACCACCATAAGCGAACATTGACCGAAAAATGCCCAGAAATGTTCGGCCAAATGTTGAACTGCCAATTAATAACTATTTAGAAAGAAGTGGTTGAGAAGTGCTTATATTTAGTCTCTGGGATACGCTCACTTCAGAACAGGGTATACGTAATTGGCTAGATTCGTTCTTGGTCTCAAAAGATGAATAGTTCTTTTAGCGTGGAATCCATATGTTGCCAGAAAGATGGAAAAAGACCATAGCTGATAATGGTCAATAGTTTGAACAATATTCAAATATTTTACGTTCGACGAAATAAGAGTGATGTTAAAAGCACTGGAGGAATGACCAAAACAAGTAGAGGACGAAGAAGTTTCCTCAGAATAAGTTAATGGTATGTATTCAGACTGGACATACAGTATTACGGTTACAACTATACAAAATTGGACGAATTTGGGAATTTAGACGAACATCTCAGCAGCTATATTATACCAAACACTACATCTCCTAGAAACTTTGATTCGAATATTTAAACCAGAAAACTTAGTTTTTAAACATCGAATGATATTTCAATCCATAGTTTAATACATCAAATTATAATAATGACAAGAGGAACCGTGATCTTAGTCTACAGTAAAGACTCAAAAACTCGTAAATTTCTTTTGACTAATTTGTTCTTTTTGGTATAATATTATCTTAAATTATCCAGTGCCTGATCTGTTTTCTAATATGAAATTTACACTTGCAATTAATTCACATCTATAATCCCAGATCCAAGTTCGAAATGGCCTTGTCATTTGCTTTTACATCCTGACCCAGATACTCTTAGTAAGAAACGGAAATCAAAAATGTAACCAAAAAATTAAAGAGTCGAAATCTGTCCGGCAGGATTTGTCTAGTAATTACGTACTATGTATACTCCAAATAAGTAGCATCATAATTAGCACTTGGTAAACTTTTATTTTTGAGTTAATCCGAGAAAGACCGCATTGGAATTTTTCACCAGAAAATTTGAAATTCTTGAAAACTTGAAGATACGGTATGATACATTAAAGGAAGCCAAAATTTTGGACTCTTCAGTTAAAGTGGAAATTTAAAGTTAAATAAACCTTTCGGAAAGGGATGGAATACTAGAGTTTAAACAGCTTTTATGATCTATGATATGAATAAGTCTTTTGACAACTCTCTGTTAAAATCCGAGATTTTCGAATACTTCGAATATACAGTTGATGATACTTTAAGGAAAGCCAAAATTTTGTACTCTCAAGTTGTCGTGGAATTATATGTAAAGCTTAAAGAAACCTTTCGGAAAGAGATGAAGTGCTAAAGCTTAAGCAGCTTTTATGAACTGTTCTTGAAAATACTCTATTAACTAGTCTCTGCACTAGTGTATTAACTATAATATGGATTAATCTATTGGTTCATCTATTCACTAGTTTATTGACTACCCTTTGGATTAGTCGATTAGCTATTTTACGGACTAGTCCATTGTCTAATCGACTGGCTAATCTATAGGCTTGTTTATAGATTAGCCTATGAATTAACTTCCATACTAGCTTATGGTCTAGTCTTCGTAGTCATGACTAGTTCGTGAACCGCTACTGAGAGTTTGTAATATAAAAAGGTACTTAATATGTCGAGGAGATACTGTGGTATTTTTCGATGTCAAAAAGTACTGAATTTTCCATGCCGGATCAAACTTTGATTGAAGCAGTTAAAATTGCAAACACTATCCTTCGGCGAGATTTCTGTATACACTGAAGGTTCAAAAACTGATACAATAAATTTTTCCGATGAGCATGTTCTCTAAGTTTCTATCATATTGTCAGTGAACGATCCGATACATCGACCAGTAACATTAAAGTAGTCTTGCATCTCCAAAGGATCCCGCATCCCGTTTGATAACGTTTGCATTCACTTCCAGTCCCACCATGTACATTCGGGGAAATGGAATTGCCAACGAATATGAAATTAACATTTCGTTTATGGAAGAAACTGTTTTGTAAAACGATAATAGTATTTCCTTGGCCGCTATATCAAGTGTGAAATTCAGGACCTATATTCACTTGCAGAATATTCAAAAGGTTGTGGCCTTGTCTTTCACGAAAATAGGTAGAAACTCGTTAAAGCTGCTTATTGGATATTGTACGATCAGACGAATGTCAGGTCGTATGGGTAAACCCACATTACAGTTTTTTCCAGCAGTTGTTTAGAAGATTAAGAATCGGTACAAGATCTTTTATGCGACAATCCTGCTTTTCAATAGCGCAAACTGAAATATCTTGTTACAAGTCTCTTTCGTGATCAAAGTACCAGTTTGTTCCCTTGGGAACTAATAGACTAATATTTAGGACCGAAGGAGTGAAACATAATAGGCCAAATAAACTCCTAATAACCCTTGTAGGTTAGGTAACGTGGATTGAACGCTAGTTAGCAAGTTTACTCGAATGCCTTGTGACCCATTGTGATTCCCTTAGAATTGCCATTCCCTTATGTTGAGAGAATGGTTTTCCTGCCTAATCCTTGTAAGATCGATAATGTTGGGACGTGGGGGTTCTTATCCTAAATCGGTTATCTCATGCTTACCTCTTATATTATGTGTTAAATCATCTTTTAATTGATTACCAGCTACATTTAAAATACGTTCCGATATAATATTGCTTTCAGTTAAAGTCTCATCGGTTGTATTGGTGATGGCATCTACTTCCAATGTGGTTATATCGCCATCCCTGCAATATTAATTGTAAATATTATAAACTAAAATTAAATAAAAATCAGCATTAGTTACCATAATATAAAACGATTATTGACATCACGGGATATGGGAAAGGGACTGCAATTATGACGGGGACCTCCTAAAGTTGAATAATCAGTTATTGGCAGTCTTGTATCTTGTTTGGCAGAACCACCCCAGGTGGATAAATTTTCAGGTTTAATTTTCTATAAAAAATAAATGTTATTTTAAATAATAGATGTTTAATTTAAATAATATTCTACAACTTACACAAAACGCTGAACCTAACGCTTTGAAATCTTCATTTGAATTTGTATCCAGTCGCATGTTGATTGATGTTGTTGGTTTTTTTTTCTGCAAATATAGCGAGAAAAAAAAAAACAATTTTAAAATTAAACATTTTTCATGAAAAGTAATTTGAAAAATTTTGTCATAAGTTAAAATTGCTTTTGCAGTTTTGTTAATATTTCTTTTCATTTACAAAAACATAAATATTTTCTGTTGATGTTTGAAGAATGTTCGTTATTTTCTGTGATTTTTAAAATTTCCTTTACATCAAGTGAAACTTTAATTTTCCCTGTTAAAGTTACTTTATGAATGTGTAGTGGTTTTTTTTCGGGAAAATGTTTGAGTTTGTGTCAAAAAGAAAAAAAGAGTTGATAAATTGTTTAAAAAACTTTCATTTACACACACGCAATCATAGTTTACACACACATTTGCATTTTCGCACTTTCAATGTAAATGAAAAGTTCCGTTAACCACACGTTTTTATACCAAAACACATATACACTAGGGTGATCGACTCGATTTTTCAACCGGTTTTAAAACCGGTTTTTTCTGCTTTACCAGTGTCGGTTTTTTCTTAATGTTGATTTTTCGAATATCGAATAACCCGGTTTTTTCACTTTTTAAAAACCGGTTTCGAATACTTTTATTTGCTTTGTATTCAAAGATTATTTAAATGAAATTTTTAAGTAAATAATAATACAGCCCGTCTAAATTTTAAAAATATTCGAGTCGAGGAACTAGCGTATATTTTTCTACAGCTCCTTTGGTTAAACTTCTTTGATTTTCCTAATTAATTAAAAAAATTTATTTGTAAAATTGATAACTGTTTGATAAAATTTTATCAATCTTAAGATTATATTCCAATTACAATAATTAATTTACGGCTGAAATTTTATGGAAGTGTTGGAATGCCTATGCAAATTTCCTAAACAGGGCTTTTAAAATAAGCTAGGATTACATAGTACCTTATGTTTAACAGAAGTGTCCCACTTTTTTTCTAATTTTTTTATATTAAAGAAATAATGTAAATCAGACCACTAGATCTAAAGTTATAATCTTTTAAACTGTTAAAAATCATTTCGGGCCATGTTTTATTAATCAAATTTAAACATAAACATTAAGTTTTTTAAATTAAAATATATTTTTTTTATTTATAATGAAAAACCGGTTAACCGGTTTTTTCTGTATTTGAAAAATATCAACCGGTTTTTTTTAAATGTCAACTATTCGAACTATTCGAAAACCGGTTTTTGGAAAATGTCGAATAATCGATCACCCTAATATACACACACCTTATACCCACACCTTAAGCGTTGTAGCAACATTAATGAAATTGGAAATACAGTTAAGGTCATTTAATGTTCTTTAAAATCAGACCAGAGTGGTCGAATTATGGCATTCGATGGTGATCGAAATCTCAACAGAATTGAACATATTACAAATGGAGATATAGATCGATTTTGTATGCTTTAGCTTGTCATATATATGGCTAAACTGAACATAAATGGTTCTGAGGAACGTGTCCCTTAAGTATGTGGAGTCTTGGTCAAGTTGACATCAACTGGCATATAAACAGAGAACAGAGATGAAGGGAGAAAGGCCAATCATTTCACCACAACATCCTTGTTGGTCGGACAATGTAGGAATGATCTAGCTAGGCTAAGTCATCTATATGACATTGTGAATGCCCGGCCCTAGATGTCAATAGAAATAAATTTCTTTGCAACTATATAGAACATGCAATCCATTTCTTACGGCTACATGATGGATCTAATTATACATTATTAGGTAACCATACATCTAACAGTGGTGTGGTCTAGAGAAAATGAAGTTCTTTCAACTCTAGCCAAACAATTGGCAATGTGCACTGCTGTCAGATTAAGCTTGACTGGCAAATGAAACACTTGTTCCAGGGTTCCATAAAAAGGCATGTTATTGAATATTGCCATGTCAATGCACAATTTCGCTGTTCGGGGGAGCATACTTGCTCGATCTCTAGAACGTTGAGGCCCAACATGGATCCACATAGAGCCGCCTTTCTTCTTTTTAGTCTTCAAAGACCTTATTTAGGTAATATTGTATCGGTCATAACTGGCCACTGCAAATTTGGAAACCATGCTACGCGCATTGGTCCACCGTATAATGACTTCTATAGAAGTTTTCAAAATAAGGATGAAGAGTAGACGATAGTCCATCTTCTCTGTCACTGTCCAGCTTTTGAAACAGCCCGTTTTCGAGCCTTAGGGTCAACTTATCGAATGTTCAGCTAGGACGGCTCTCTGCATTTCTGAACTTGTCTAAATGGTTATGAACTAAAATTTCACACTAAACTGGACATATGCATGTTTCTAACCTTACGTCTCCATATTTCTAGGGCTCTCTTCACATTTTCCTTCTATCCCTTTACCCATTCATTATCTCCCTTTCTGCTATCCCTATTCTTTTCTTCTTCTTACAAACCTAACCTAACTCTACTAATGATTGAATTGCTTGCGTATTTAATCGCCGAAATATCATAATTGTGATCTTCCTAATGGAAGTATATTCTATGAGACACGTGAAATCGTATACTAGAAGACGATGAGATTTCTGTCGACACTGACGGGTCAAAAATTGATTGGGCATTTTTTTCCGATGAGCATATTTTCCAACATATTGTCTAATGCCTGAAGGATTCGATACATCGACAAGCAATATCTATGTACGTATCGTCGCGATATCTAACCTGATAGGCGAAAGGACGAAAGATAAATTGAAACTCAGGAACAATTTCCACTTGCAGAATATCTAAAATGTTGTGGCCTTGTCTTTCTCTAGATAGAAATTCGTTAAAGCTACATACTGACGAATGTCAGATCAAATGGTTTACCCACATTGCAGTATTTTCAGCAATTGTTTAGACGAAGAAGATAAAGAACCGATACAAGAACTTTTATGCCAATGTCCCGCTTTACAACAGTGCAGACTGAAATATCCTGTTACAATATCGTCAACGAATCGTAACAAATTTGTTAAAAGTACCGATTTGTTCTCTCGGGGACTATTGGCAAAATAAGACTGAAGGATTGAATCACAATAGGCTATATATGGATGGATAATGTTGTTGGTTGATGATCAAATTGATCGCACATTTAATCGTCCAAATCTTCTGATCTTATCTACGGCAGAACAGTTCCTAATGAAAGTTTACTCTATGAGATAAGTAGAAGTGTCTACTAGAAGATATTCAAAAGATGTTTAAAGATGTATAATCACTGTCTTCCATAAGTGAATTAAACGTACACAACAAGAAGAAAGAAATTCGAAATTTTGTGAAATGTGCACAATCGTCGAACTATCAGCCAGAAGTGACTAAATCATATACATCTGAAAGATCAAACTCTTATTTCGCTCAAACACTTAGTTTGTTTTTGTAAAATACTAACGCTCGTTTGATTATCATCTAGAAGTTTTTATCGTGTTTTCTACAAAAATCCACAATCCAAATTTTAGAAGAGTTCGAACGCTAACTCTTCATATTTCCATATATTTTATAAATTGACCCATTATTCTCTTTGTACTTTACATTTTTCTACTTTTACTTTCTAAAAATTCCAAAATCTTTCTTTATCATTCGTTTAAAAAGTTCTTGTTATTTGATTAGATCGACTAGTTAAACATTTGCAAATTAACTTATTTATTTAATTAATTAAAATAGTTTTTTACAATTATTTTGTAATTACATTTCAACAAGTATATTGCATGTTAATCCAAATGGAATTTTCAAAGCAAAAAATAATTCTTACTCTTATTTTGATTCATTGTAAAGTTGTTAAATTGTCTTACTTTTAATTTATTCGAATAAAACTTCAATATAAAATTAATCCCAGTGAACTATTATTTGATAAAGTTTTGATATTGCAGTTCCATTTGATCAGAAGATTCCAAAAATGTCCTTAATAATGACTTTCCTAAAAAGTTCTTAAAACAACACAATACTACTTTCTATCCCCGACACAAACCTGACACGATCTAAACAACTTAATATTTTTAGAAAATGCCTTAAGTTATGCAGCATTTTGTGTGCTGTGTACAGTGTTAAAACACTGTTTTCAATCTTCCACTAACAAACAATGGCAAAGAGATGTAAAATAATAACAACAATGAAAATGCTATTTTTACCTTGTTTGCATAAGAAAAACCCTGCAGTTTAAAATGTAACAATTAAACCCCCGGAGAAAAAGTTGAGTGATCATGAATTGGAGCATTTACTCCATGAAGATTGTTGTCAAACTCAACAAGCACTTACACAAGCATGGGAAGTTATACAAACAGCTATTTGTAAGTGTTTACGAGCAGAAAGCTTAGAGATCGGATAGCATACGAATAGCAATCGAGAGTATATTAACTACATTTTTATTTTGCATCGAATCTTCATTACTTGCAAGGAAAAATTTATCCATTACGATAACTCGAAGCCGAAAAGATCGAATGTGAATTTAGGATTACCAGCAGAATAGACATCAAAGCCAAGTGTACATGGCGTTAAGGTAATACTCTGTATGTGATAAGACCAATAAGGTCCAATGGATTATTAGCACTTGACGTCTAGCTAGATCATCACAGAAATCATGTATCGAATGCAACGGATTCTTTTACAGCGAATTTTGGCCGGAAAAGGCCCAGAATATAAGTACGCCCAGACATAAAATCAGAAAGATGGAAGAAGATCGTAGGTTCATTCTTAAGTGAACACCCAATATGTTTAATAGTGACAATTAATCAGTATTTCATCCAGTTGTCGTACAAGTAGACGCCATTATCATTCAAGGTCCCATGCCTAGAATCCATAAATCTCTTTCGCAGTTCAACAGATATCACATAAGTCAGAAAATCATAGTCATACACAGTCAAAAGGATCCATCGATGAAGACCTTGATAAGCCCATATACACAGACAGGTTCCGAATTCGGTAGAGTCAAATCTTTGCTCTCTTATCTCACATAGTAAGAGATGAATTTTGTAATGAATTTCTCAGAGTAAATTCGTGAGTGAAATGATTTGAAAGTTGATTTGAATTTGAATTT